TCACTTGGCGTGAGCTCTGTGTGCACTTGGCCCCAGGACAGTGGCAGAGCAGGGAATTGTGACAACTGCAGTCCAGCCTCACAGCTGCTCTGACAGCAGTGAGGCTTTAGCTGTACTGGGGAGTAGTTGTTAGGAGCAAGCAAGTGTTGCTGTGGAGAAGCGAATGGTGGGATGTGTTGTGGCAGGGCTCTCCACAGCACCTAGGAACAGGCACGTTTCCAGGGAATTCGTGGCATTTAAAGAAGCTCCTTCTAGTGAACTGCTCCTGCCCGGTGTGATGTCTGTGTTCAGTGTTAATGATTTGCAGGGGAGGCAGCTGCTGCCAAGTCAGCTCGTAGCAAGTGCTCTGCAAATCAGCCAGGAAAACTGCCCCAGCTGCAGGAATTGCGACAGTAGTCACCGCCAACACACAATTTCTGCAGCTGGGTTTTGTGATAACCTCTATTTGTAGCATTGGCTTTTTTTTTTTTCAGTACAAGGTGTGTAGTCTAGGGTGGTTTTGGTCAAGAGCTGCATCTCTCGTGGCAGCGGGTGGTGGCTTACGTTGCCTCCAAGTCAACCGTAGCAGAGCCACTGTGGACAGCCTTGAGCAGTCAGACCCAGCACTCTGCAATAAGTACACTCAGGTTTTTAAATGAGAGTTTGTTGTGTATTCTTGTTTTTCCCCAAAAGGCTTTACTGCTTTAGGGTCCTGAAAGAGGCAAGTTCAACTTGTGAAGAACCTGCATGCAGGTACTTTGCTGAACAGCTTGGTTGCAAGAGTAGTTAGTCAGCCTTAATTAAAACAATGGAAGTAAATTAAATTTTGTACTTAATTATATGATCTTCTATCTGTGAAATAAAAATGGAGCAGTGTCACAAGGGCCCCGGTTTTCTTAAGCAAAACCACCAAAACTCATTTATCCTCTTGAGGTGCCACTGGCACAAATGTACCCGCCAACAGAAAGCAAACAGCCATTCACCCACCTCTTTAATGAACACTTATTACTTCTGTATAGAAACTCTCTGCCAGACCATAAGTTAGAGCTATACAGGAAAAATACATATGTACAATTATGACAGGAAAGAAAACCACTGAGTTTGGTAAGGCCATGGACCAGCATCCTCCTTCATCCGAGTGCAGTGGAGCTGCAACAGCAGAATAAGGCCCTGTGGCCCAATGTAAACAGTGCTAAGAAATCTGTTTAAGGTAAGTTTCACAACAAAGGTGATAAAATGGTATCCTGGGAGATAATGAAGCATGTTTTGGGGATGTGCAGTCTCTGCTGTGGAGGGGAGAGCTCTGTGAGAGGCCAGCCAGGGAAGAGAGAGGCCCCACTCTTCAAGAGAAAGGAGTCTGAGCAACAGGCAAGGCTTTCTCTACGATCCAGGTCCGAAAGGTCCAGCTTTCTCTGCCACCTCCAGGGCAAGTTTCAAGTTCTGATCAAACAACTCACACCTGAAACAGTCAGAAAAGCAAAAGGGATGACTTTACCTATGGACCAAGCTAAGATAAGATCTCCAGATCCTTTGGCTCTGCATCCTTCAAGGAGAGATCTGGGAAGTTGTGACACAACTCACTGTTGCTGAGCTTTGGCTTGGTCCTTAATTAAGATTAAAGCTCTTTCTATAGGCCTGAGTGTTAAGTTAGGACAGCGGGGTGAGTGCCAAGGAAGTGTACCTCCCACTTCCCCAGCAGAACAACGCCAGAAAGAGCTCAGGTCAGCGTCCTGTCCCTGCAGCAGTGTGCTGTGGCTTCCCCTTCCCTCAGCCTTTGGGTCTGCTTTGCTACTTCACTTAAGGGCTGTCTGCATTTGCTACTGCCCAGGCAGAAAGCAATGAGGGGTTGCAGATGGGTTACTAAAAGTGGGCTTTTCCTTACCTGATTGGCATCTCCAGGGAGTAGAAAGGATTCTTCAAAGCGAAGTCAGAGTAAATCTCATAGATTTTGCGGAGAAGAGCATCTATCCCCGTCTGTCTCGGGTCAGCAAGAACCATGAATTTGATCCCTAGAGCCATAATGCCAGGAACATAAGGAAGGCCGAGCACAGTGACAGCCCTGGCACAGCAGAGTGGTGCTGGGTGCCTGGGGCCGGACTGTACCTGTCAGCGTCTGGAAGCAGTGCAGTTTGAAGGTGTCAGTCTCGAGCATCTCGATCCCGGAGCTCCCAACCTCGGGGGACAGCTGCGATCCGATGGCGAACAGCCTGTGGGCACAGGACCTTCAGCGCCCCTCACCACCCCTGCCCGTGGCATCCTCGTCCCCTCACGGCCCATCCTGACTCACGAGTGGAACATGGAGGCCAGCATGAGCTTCTCGTTGGAGGAGAGGCGGTGGCGGCCGAAGCGGATGGACACCGGGTAGTTGGCGGGGTTGCCCAGGAACTCCAGCACGTCCTTCCCGTCCGCCGTGAAGCGCCCGTTGACCTCGGCGCCGTTGATGGCGAGTACGGCGTGACCCACTGCGGGGACAGCGCGGCGGCATCGGTCAGTCTGTCAGTCACTCAGTCAATCTGTCACTCACTCGCTCACTCACTCAGCCCGGCCTGGCCGGCCCTCCCCGCCCGCCGCACCGCGGATGCCGTCGCGCTGCCCGAAGGCGACGACGACGCGCTCGTCGTGCGGGCGTAGGACGAGGTCGAGCGGGAAGCTGAACGTCTTCTCGGTGTCGGCGCGGGGCGCGTAGTGGTCCAGCTGGTAGATAAGGCCGCCCGCCTTGTTCACCACGTAGACGCTGAAGATCGCCATGGCCCTGCCCCGGCAGTGGCTCCGCCCGCCCCGGCAGTGACGCGCGGCCCGCCCGGGGCCCGCCCACGCCGCACGCCGGGGCCTTCCTTTCTCGCCGACATCTTGCGGAGCAGCCGTGCCCCCACCATGGTGAGCCGGGCCGGGCCGGGGCGCGGGCGGTGGGACGGGCCGGGACCCCTCGAGCGGCGCCGGCGGCTCCCTGAGCAGGGCGGGAACCCGTGCGGGGCTTCTCGGGGGGCGGCCCCGCGCCCCGCCGCTCACCCCCCACCCTTCTCCCCTCCTCGCAGCCGCCCAAAGACGACAAGAAGAAGAAGGACGCGGGCAAGTCCGCCAAGAAGGACAAGGACCCGGTCAATAAGTCCGGCGGCAAAGCCAAGAAGAAGGTGGGAGCCGGCGGGGCCGAGGGCTCGGGGAGCGGGCGGGGCCGCGAGCCTGCCGCGGGCGGCGTGGCCGGGCCTTGAGCGCGGGTGATGGCCGGACGGGGGCATCGTGTTGTTAGAGGAGCAGTTTCTTCATCTGCCAACAAGTTGGACATAACGGTGTTAAAACCGAGTAGCAGAAGGCTGTAGTCCTTTTATTTGCAGATACTGTAGGTATTATTTGCAACATTTTCGTTTAAAAAGCATTTCGTTTATAAAGGCCATTTTGTGCATCTCATTAGTAGTTTAATATGATATGGAAACATTTGATGGTGCAGTTATTGGGGCATCCTTAAACTCGATCTTTTGTTGTTGTTTAGAAGATGGCTTATGGGGCATTGTTCTCTTTCTCTTTTCAAGTAGAAGTGGTCTAAGGGGAAAGTCAGAGACAAGTTGAACAACCTTGTCCTCTTTGACAAGGCCACTTACGACAAACTGTGCAAAGAAGTGCCCAACTACAAGCTCATCACACCTGCAGTTGTCTCAGAGAGGCTCAAGATTCGAGGCTCCTTGGCTCGGGCTGCCCTCCAGGAGCTGCTCAGCAAAGGTGAACACTCAAAACTGGAAAAACAGAAAGCTGCTTCTGCAGACTCGGCTATTTTCTTTTCCTTGCTCATTTAGCAGGTTTCCTGCAGCATCTGAACTGCTCCATGTGCAAATTGACATGGTTTTGGGGAGCCACTGCCTTAGCTTGTGTTTCAGAAGTGCTCCAAAGTATGGAGCAGCAGTTCTGCTGCATGCAGTGGCATTGCTGTACTAAGAAAGTGCTCCCAGAAGGAGAGGCTGTGACGTAACTGCTGCCAGATCAGAATGAAAGCCTCGTATAAGCTGCTACACTCTGGTTTTTCATCTTGCACGTTGTACTGCCTCTCTAGGAGGGAGCACAATGTCCTTGGCATGTGTCAGTATATGCATGCTCACATAATTTCCTTCTTTTTCGTAGGTTTGATCAAACTGGTTTCCAAGCACCGCGCCCAAGTGATCTACACCCGAAACACGAAAGGTGGAGATGCGCCTGCTGCAGGGGAGGATGCATAGGGAGGTGAGGCTGGGCACTGAGGAGGAGCTGAGTCGTGCTATCAGAGCTAGCAGACAGAGCTGGGTTGTGCTGTCCGAGCTAGCAGATGGCTACGTGCTGTGTAGGGGGCAGCTCTTGCGTGGTTGGGGGGGGCTGTTCTTCCAGACACTCGAGAGTATATTGTTTGCATTCTGAGTGACATTCTGGGGGGCGTTACTGGAAACATCGGTTCTCCAGAATTAAAGAGCAACTGGTGATTCTGTCCCTGTGCCCATCAGATGAGGGAATGTGAGCTGCAGGGCAGAGGATACGTGTCCTCCCTGCTATTGCAGGGCACCATGGCCAAGTGTTCCTGCTGGAACAAAGCTGTCAGACTGTTTGCATTGTGCTCCCCTGCTTTGACCTGGTTTTCTGATTTGGGACTTCTTGCTTTGCAGGTTCTCCAGTGACCTTATCAACGAGGGGTCATATGTAGATGCACGTAATAAAATTACTGATATAATTTTTCTTGCTTTTCCAAGAATGTGTATGTTTCGTTACTGATGCATTATTAATAGTGGATTCTGGTACTAGTCATGGCTGTCGTCCTCTGCCAGCCAGTTTTTGCCTTTACACACAGTTACAAGTGTACTGTGAACGTGCTTTTATATTGCAAAAAGGGAAGGAACTTTTGCATCACCTACAGCAGCCAATTGTATTAAACCACGTGAAACAAAGAATGTTAGAATTAAGGAAAGCAATATAAATTGGAATGAAAACATCTGGCACCTGGCATTAGTTGCCTGCAGAGCAAACCCTGCATTTGAAATGAGTTTCAGTTGGTCTACAAACACAGGGACATTTTAAAAAAACACTTTTATTTCTCAAAAAATTCGTTAATGGGATGTCATGCTCCATGTCAGCGTAGGCCACTGGCAGCACTTGTATAAAACAGGCTTTCTGATAATGAAGATACAGCATCTGCAGTAGCCTGTCCTTACTGGCAGGACATGTAACAGTACTGAGGTCACCTTGCCTTCAGGGGACCAAGCACAGCTACCTACAGTCCAGCTTTCCACAACAAAGCTGCATCTTTGGTGTTTTTCATCTGATCACCTTTTCTTCTTTTCCCCTGATTCAGTTCTAAACTGGTGCCTGAAAGAGAGCATAGAAGTCAGATTGCAGTAGCCTTTAGAGAGAGAGAGAATGAACACTGCCTCAAACAAGTAAGACAGTGCTGTGCACAGTGTTTTAGCATGGGAGTTCACTCAGTATTTTTATTATGTCAGTGGGCAGTAGCAGGCTCTCCAAGTAGCTGACACAGTTCTAGCACATTAAAAGTTGCCAGTGGAACAGTACCTGGGTCTGAAAGGTGAGCCAAGCAAAATGAGGCAGGTGCCTTCATGTGTGCAGCCTCTACAGCCATGACCATGCTTCACCTTGCAAGCCACCCCTTTGCTGCTTCAGGGCAAGAGTGACACTGCCTGACGTAACTCAAGCGACTAGACATCTTATGCTTGCTGCTACCACAGAGCCTGCTCCAGGAGTAGCTTGCATGGACAGAAACCACAAACCCTCCACTTGGCATCTACCTGTGTTGCCCTGAAGCTCACCTGGATTGCCACCTCCTGCCGTGATTCCAAACCCGCCCGAAGGAAGGAAGCCAGCTGTCGCTTGTCTGAGAGGTATGGTCAAAGTTGGCACCAACACGTTCCGCTGGGAGCTTTTTCAGCTTCTGCTTCTCCTCTGAAAAAAAATAAATCATAGAATTGTAGAGTGGTTTGGGTTGGAAGGGAACTGGATGATCATGTGGCATGGATAGGGACACCTTTCTCTAGACCAGGTTGCTCAAAGCCTCAAATGTTTTGTTCAGCAAAAGTTTTTCAGTCAAATTGCTTTTAGTTCTCTAGTTTGGTAAAGTGACTGTAAGGTTAACTGAAGGGTGTGCAAGCTGCTCACTTTGTCTGAGAAATTCCTCATAGGAAGGTCCAATCTCTTGTTTGGTTCCATCCTCTTCTTCTGTTAGCCATGGAGGTTTTGCTCCTAGAAGTCACAGGGAACACTTATTTAGCCACTGAAGTTATCCTCAACTGAGACAGGGAAAAGCATCCCTTCTTCCCCCATCCCTCTGCTCACCCTACCAAGCAAGTGGCAAAGGAAAAGTCAAGTCTGGGTGTTGTAAGAAAAAGGAGCTGGTTTCCTCAGTTAAGGCCACAGCAGATCACACCCTAAATCTTACACTTCCCACAGCAGCAGTACTAACAGAATTTTCATAACACAGAAGTGTTTTCTCCTCTAGTATGTCAAATATTGCCAGGAGAGTGAGCACCTCCTGGTTATGCTGCAACTGCTTCAAAACTGCTTTAAGTTATCCCTGTTAAATATGCAAGCCAAGAGGTAGCAACCCAGTGAGTTGTGATGCAGGTGCGATTACCTGTGTGGACATTTCCTTTTCCTTCTGTTTCCTGTTAAAAGAAACATAAAATGCTAATGAGAATCTGATGTTTAAGAGTATCTTTGAACAGAAGGGTATTGTGTGCCTTCCCTTCCAGAAACACATTCTGTTACAGAAAGACAGAGGGAAGCTGTTCTCTACTTTCTTTTAGGAGCATTTGTTTTTTTCAGGGCATATTAGTGAACATTTACTTAATGAAAGTTAAGAGTGGATAACTGAAACTGGACTAGCTGCCTGCCCAAATCCACAAAGCTGTTTTTTCCATGACAGGGACTGCACTCCTTGTTTTGCTTTGTGACACATGCTGTAGGAGAGCTGCAGTTAAACTGAAGTCATGCTTGTTAGCCAGTCACCCTTACCTGGTGGCCAATGAAGGTCAGAGCCTGTCCTGCTTCCATCCAGGATAAGTCAGGTCCTGTCTGCGTCCCGCTCAGGCCGGGCTGCTCTGCATCGTGAGAGGTGTCCCTGGAATAGAGGCCAGTGCTTACTGTAGTGTAGGCAAGAATTTGCCAAGGATTATAAGATCCTGGTGACAACAGCGTCAACTCTGGCAGCTGCAGCGGCCTCATCGGGTGCTTTGAGTAGGAACACGTCAGCCTAAGGGAAGCAGTGCTCACCGTTCAGGTCCTGCGGGGGGGCTGCAGACAGAAGGTCCTGCACAACGTTCTGCCTCTGTTTGAAGCTGAGTGCGATTCAGGAAAAAAGAACAGTATTTCTGGTACTGAGCAAAGCCCCCACCCGGCTGCCCCCAGCCCCTCCCGAGCGCACCCGGTTCCAGTAAGGGCACGCAGTGCGATGCCCGGTCCCCGCCGGGGCGCAGCCAGGGCAGGATACAGCTCACCGACCTGGAGCGCCGCCTGCACCGTCTCCCGCTGCCGGCGCTCGGCCTCCCGGATGTCGGCCGCCATCTGCGGGGATAGCGCGGGTGAGGCGGGGCCGGGTCGCGGCGGGGGCCGGACCGGGGTCGCTGCGGGGGCCGGACCGGGGTCGCTGCGGGGGCGGCAGGCGGTACCTGGCGGATCCGCTCCTCCTCCCGCTGCTGGTGCTCGGCCAGCGCCCGCTCCAGCGCCCGCGCGAACTGCTCGTACTCCTCGGTCGGCACCAGGCACCGCTCCCGCAGCGCCGCCTCCGCCCGGTTCTCCCGCCAGAACCGCGCCGTCTCCCGCCGGTGCTCGGGCCTGCGCGAACCGGGACACCGTCAGCGCCGGCCGTGCCGCAGCAGCCCGGCCTGCGGCAGCGCCAACCCGCCCGGTCCCTGCCCACGCACCCGGCCAGATGCCGCAGCAGCCCGGCCTGCGGCAGCGCCAGCCCCCCGCGCCGCCCGTCCCGCCGCACGCCGCGCCCGCAACACGGGCACCAGACGCGCCCGTCGTGCTCCGCCGGGTCGTAGGGCCGCACGGCAGAGCCCACATCGGCCGCCGCCGCCCGCGCCGCCGCCGCCGCCTCCTGCAGCCGGACCAGCGCGTCCCGCAGGCGACGGCGGTGCCCCGCGCTGTAGCGGTGCCGGCGGCCCGTGAAGGCCGTGCGGCGGCACAGCCCGCAGTAGTGCACGGCCATGGCGCGGAGCCGCGGGCGCAGGCGCGGCGGCAGAGCCGGCCCTCGGAGCGCAGCGGAGCCGCCTCAGTGCTGCCATCCAGCGCTGCGGGCCCTGCACACCGCGCTGGCAGCCGCCCGTATCTCTGCGACCTGTATCTCATGTCCAGAGAGGGGCAGCGAAGCTGGTGAAGGGTCTGGAATGCAAGTCCTACGAGGAGCAGTTGAGGGAGCTGGGGTTGTTCGACCTGGAGAAGAGGAGGCTCAGGGATGTCCTTATCACTCTCTACAACTCCCTGAAAGGAGGTTGTAGCCACGTGGGGATCGGGGCTCTTCTCCCAGGCAACCAGCAATAGGACAAGAGGATACAGTCTTAAGCTGCTCCAGGGGAGATTTAGGTTGGACATTAGGGAGAATTTCTTCACAGAAAGGGTGATTAGATATTGGAATGGACTGTGCAGGGAGGTGGTGGAGTCACTGTCACTGGAGGTGTTTAAGGAAAGACTGGACATGGCACTTAGTGCCACAGTCTAGTTGACATGGTAGTGCTCGGTCATAGGTTGGACTTGATGATCTTGGAGGTCTTTTGCAACCTAAATGTTTCTGTGACTGCTGCAGTGGCTCAGGTGACATTAACTGCACAGATACTCCTTGGTTTGTTCCCTTGTCAGGGAAGCTACCGTCCTAGTGTGTGCATTTACACTTGATCACATCACTTTTGACATTGTTCCTCTATGCACTCATGGGTATGCAGGTGAAAGCAGCTGTCTCAGTCCAGTTATGTGGATTCTTGCCCACTGGTTTTACAGCTGGAATGCAAAAGCCCTATTCCATGGCTTAGAATAACACCTCTCACTCAGCTAATGCATTCTCTGCTCAGACTGTGGGCTGAGACCCTTTGTCTCAGATCAACAGTGAACAGATCAACCCACTGTTTAATCCTCTGCACCACAAGAATATTGCAAGAGGCAACAGCTTGTGTGGAGGACTTTGTGTTAGTCATAGCAGGTGCCACATGTCAAAATGCCTCTGCAACTTGAGACATGTGCAGCTGGACAAAATTTTGCCTTACTGAAAGAAATTAGATTGCTCATCTTCTTCCTCTCCCCTTCTAAATTTGAATCCTTAGGTCACAATGCTCGTACTTTCCACATACAGTTCTTGGGACGCTGCCTGTGGCAGCACCTGAGAAAATAGGCTTGGTTTGAAAATACATGGTACGTGTTTCAGATGAAGGGAGCCCAAAGGAATCATAGACCAAACAGAGGGGGGGGAGGAAGAGGGAGGAAGTTGCAATTGTTACTTGGGCCATAATGTCTGCAGCATTCACGTCTATGCTATGAATGGGTGGTTGCAATACATACTCATACTATTCACCCGCTTGCCATCACTTGGGGCACGGCGGAGGTAGGTGACACGTATGGAAATAGAGCAGCTTCAAATCAAAATCCAAGCCTTGGCTTAGTACCAGCAGGAATTAGATTTCAGACTCTACATATGCTGAGCATGTTGTAGGAGGATGAAGTTATGCTCATAGCAGAGGAACACATCAGGGACTTGTTCATCTGAGCAAGGAGATGAACAGAAAGAGGCTGGTTTTGGCAATTGCTGGAAAAGATTGTGCCTTAATGTTAGTGCCATGGTGTTAGGAGAATCTCAGCTTAAAAGGGAATTCTGTGACCCTTGCATCAAAAGTTTGGATTTGAGTTGTTTGGTTTTTTTCTGCATGATGAAAGAAAAGGGGAAGGCGCTTTTCCCCACTGCAGGCTTGCTCTGCTGGGCTTAGGGCCAAATGTTCCTGTGCTTTTTGCTGTCACTATTCTCACCCTTTGCATCTTTTGAGATGGGCTGTTGAAAAATAAGTCAAACACCAGACTAAGCTCTTCTTAAAGAGAAAACCTTCAAAGGGCAGAGAAGGATCTGGCATGCTCAGTTTTGCCCCTTCAATAGTGTGATAATTTACACTGTATCAGGGTTTGCTTAGTTCTTGTTAGGCAATCCACAAATATCAATCAGTATGTCTTTGCTTTCGCTAGATGCAAAAGACTACAGTAGCACAGCTTTTTCCACCCTTGTGTGACAAAGTTCAGTTGTTAGTGGAAACAACGTGGTCCCTGTTAGAGCCTTCAGGTGTGAGCAGGACCTACTCGTCTGCTTTCCTCAAAAACTCTGTGCACCCCAATCAAAGCCCTTTTCCCTTCCTGAGACTGGAGTCTGGTATTTGACTTGGGATGCGTTGCAAACAATCTGGCTACTATAGTTTAATAATTTACCACGTATCACTTGACCTGCCGCACCACAAAGTTGCTTTTCCCTTTCTACCTTGAGTCAAACTCACACAGTGGTGTGTGCATCAGCTGAGGCACAGTAGTTCATTAAGTTTATGACTATCTACGTGCACGCTCACATAGACACCTCACCTACCTACCTAACCTTTGGTAATTCAGAAATAATCTCACTCCAGGGGGCTAGACTGGATGCAGTTATGTTAATAATCTCAGAACAATGTGAGTATTTTGGGGAGGGGGAGTAAAAGAAGTCCTGCAATAGCTAGACCTTGCTTGCAGATGAAATCTCTTGACCTGCTTGCTCTTCAGACAGGCATGGCTTTTGAAAAGCATGTGGGGCAACCTGTGAGGCACTGATAAGTAAAAGACGGAAGAATATTCAGGTGATGGACTTGCCCATGGGAAGACATGGTTCTCTGTGCCACTTAGCAGGAGATGCCCTGGGAAGAGCAGCCTGGCAGAGCTGGAGGAGGATAACTGGAGCCCATGGCTTGGCCACCAGAGGCCGTGTGAGCTGGCATTTTGCAGTGAATTCACCTGTAGCTTGCTCAGAGTCGGTGCCCCTGGAGTTGGGTGGGGGCTCTCCAGCAAAAGCTGCTACAGAGCAGCTGCAGCTGATCAGAGTTTCCTCTGCAGCTGATCAGAGTTTCCTTTTTCCCATCTTTCCTCAGGTTTCTGTGTCCTCAGAGAAGGCTGTACTGGTGTGTGAAACTGGTAAGTAACACCAGGGAAGGGGAAGAGGGTTGGGTATAACATAATATGATAGTATTCTACCTAGAGAAGCCCTGAACAGTTGTACTTAGACCCTTCTTGAAAAAAAGGTGTGAAAAGAGCTTGCTAATATTTCCTGCCTCTGCTGCAGCAATGGAAAGCATTCCCCCATGTGGTAATGTTTACTACTTACTGGTAGAGATTTGAGGTGCTGCCATAACAAACACAGGCAAAGCAGGAGCTGAGCCCTGTGGTCTGCCTGGTCTGTGCCATGAAGCAAGACTGGAAACAGAAGTGTTGGTTTCCAGCTTAAAGCCTAAGAATATTTTAAATAGGTATGTTTGCAACTATGAACCTTTCCATTAGGTTTAGGAAAAACCTATAAAGGCCTGTGTGTGTGAGGCCTTAATTTTGCCTTTGGCCATTCAGTTGCTGAATCCCAGTCCCATTGGTTTGTATGTGTGTATTCTGGGTGAAAGCACAGTAACCTCTGAGCTCTGCCTTGCTACCCCTGCTTTCCCAGGGAAAAGGGATTTTGGTCAGACTGATAGAGCCAATTTGTGACAAATAAAATGTAAATCTGTCAATCTGCAATTATGCCTTGTGGTTTTTCCAGGGGCTCATGCTTGTATCCTAAAGCCATCTCATTTTTTGGCCCCCCTTCTAGCTTTAGAAGGTGGAACAGAAGATAGAAGAGAACCTGTTGTCACATGCAGAAGGCCAAAGCACCCAGCATCTTTTCATCATAAAGGAAGCTGAAAACATAGAGAGGTGACAAGCTGGAGGTGTCTTGGCTCAGAACATCTGGATTCTTCAAAGTCAGCTCTTTTCAGGTGAGTGTTACCTGCACAGAAGCCAATTAATGGGATAGTTTAACTGAAAATCGGTCTCACCTACTCCCACACACCTTGTAAGCACAATAACTAGAGGGAAGTTTTGTAAGGCTGCAAGTTGAGGTCAGGGGCAAGTGCAGTTCTTGTTCCTTGCTGATTCCCATTTCCTGGCATTTCAGATTAAAACGGACTGTTTGCAAATCATGAGAAAAGATATTTCAGACTCAAGGCATAACTACAGGTGTGGTCAATTGCTTCTCAGGGTGTCTGACTTTTGTGTAAGGTGTAGGCAGATGCCTTCAGCCAGGCTTATGGCTTCATGTGAATGTGCTCTGTGGAGTCTTCTTAGCAAGCCAGAGACACTGCATTTGCTCCTGTTTCTGAAAGATGTTGGATGCAAGCTTGCTCTCTCCCCTGAAGATAGGGCAGCTCTATAACTTGCTTTCTGACTCAGAGTTGTTACTTGAGTTTGGCTCGATGGCTGTGGCATTCTTCAGAATTTGAAAGCTTTGAATTTGTACAGAGTGACATCTGCTTGTCTATGGTGACATCAGGATATCAAGGATATCATCTCTTGTCTTTGCTTTGCCCTGCTGATGGTGTTTTTTTGGAAACAAACTCATTGGACTTTGTGGGGACCCTTGTGGATACTGGTCATGCCAATCAAGTCTGGGGTTTATATATACTTTTTTACTGTAGTAGAATAGAGATTAATTTCCAATTAAGTAATTAGTCTTTTTTCCCCTCTTCCTAGTACAGGGTATACAGTAGGTGGCTTATCCTTGCACAGGGCCTTCCTGCTATCTTAGTATTGCTTCAGTTCCCCGTGCTGCAGAGTGGCTGATGCTGTGACTGTAATATAGAAAGAGCTCCCAGGATTTGCATGGGTTGGGGTTACAAACAGTCCTTTCTGTTAGAGGGGCAACGGGGAAAGCATGGGTGGGCTTGAAGATAGGGAACATGAGACAGGAAGAAGGCTGTGACTGGTGAGAGATGGTCACTTCATTGGCATGGAACCAGGGGCTGTATCAGTGTGCCTGGTTATTCCTGCAGATGCCTGGTGTGTCTCTGGTACCATAGGTAGGTGCTGCTGTCAACATAGCTGTTCATAGCCTCCTCAGGATATGAGAACACCACACATGTACTTGATGAGCATCACAGCCTTTTTTATTAGCCATATTCTCTTCTCTCTCAGTGGATACACTAT